TGCGCGGGAGGGGGGGGGGGGGGGGTTACCTACTAGTGTAAGCCTATTGTATGTTAGTAGGATAAGAATTACCGAATTATATGAATATATAGAAATAAGAATCTGAGTAAATTGTAAAATGAGGAAACATTGAGTATGACAGGATTCCAGGCCAGCTTCGTTGCACTATCATCTTATATATCTCATGTTTGTTTTTTCAATATTTCTCAACTGCATGAAATCAATGTCACGTTTTTCAATCGTGAAGTAGTGCCAAATTGAAGATATTTTCGATGGTATAAAGAGAAGGTGTGCAGCAGTCTGATGCTAGTAAGACTTGCTCATATTGCTCTAAATATGGCGTCAGTTTTAAAGCATCATTGACAATCAATTGACAAATTTTTATTACAATTTTATGTTTCTCAACCATCTCATCATGCATTTAATTGTATAAACTAGAGAACAAATTAATGTATATATAGGTACGCCAAAAGATTTTAAGTTTTGAACGTTGTTGGCATCGCGAATACACGACACAGAAAAATGAAGTAGCTAAGATAATTTGAATTCTTGTGCAACTTAATTAGCTTTCCTCACGCCGCCATTTTTGGGATACTTTTTTGCCAATCCTGCGAGCATAACACCACGTAACGGCGACATTTTATAATTTTGTGGGTGTACGATCATGGTAAATTTACTCTGTAAATAGTTTGTTCTTAAATATTGCTTTTCATATTGTTATAATCGTAAACGAAAAATTACAATACCCCAAAAATGGGGGCGTGAGAAAGGCTAATTGGAAAACACGCACGTCCCGGCACATGCACACGCGTTCTTCGGACTAGGCCTAACCCATCGTGGGTGGGTTTTTTTTCCACTTGCACTTGACATGTCATTATTCATATATTAATTAATTATAAACCAATTCGTATATCAGTAATTTGTTTTCTAAATTGTTGTGTGTAATTCTTATTTTAGGTTGTTGGAGATAAACATGGAAATTGTGTAAGTGAATATTAATAACTTTGACCGTTTAAATAAAACACGAGAAACGTATTTTATTTACTACACACGGGTTTCTATTTACTACTTTAAGCTAGGTCATGAATATAGAGTTGTATGAAAGAAATTACAATTATATTACATATTAGTTTCAGACATATTTATGTATGTAAAACAAATGTGGGTTTGTATAATTATGTATTCTAAACTTCTTTTTATACATGGCATTTTCGGTGGGTAAAATTATGAACATATATTGTTGTTCCTACCTTGGGCCAACACCGCCATGTTGAGTGAATTTGACAAAGGATTTTCCTTCTTTGAGAATTACTTGGCCCTGATTTGAATCCCCCTGGCATTGTTTGCCCACCACCTACATATCATTATACAGAGTAAAAACAGTTTCCGACATGTAGTTTTTCGTTTCCATGCATGTGCATGATTATGTGCTTTTCTTTGATTATCAGGTATACCTTAATGAGCGAGAGTGTTCCGTTCAACGCAGAAATCAAAAAGTTGTCGAAGAAGCTCCAAGGTATGAATGATAAAGTAGCCATTTTCATTCCATGTTAAAGTTCAGGCGTATATACGTGTATAAAACGCACAACTGGTTCCCTGTTGATGTCCACAGACGTGAACAAGGTTGTGCTACAACCCTGTTTTAATGTCGTAAACTATAATAATGTATTTTGGACAACTAAGACAATCAACCACTTTTCTTGGGAAAATGATTGTCTGGGAGAAGTGCTCCGTCAGCTCCGATTATGTTTAACTATGGCCAAAGTTTGACCCCAATATAGGCTCATTTTTTACAGCTCTACAATAAGGGTTAAATTATGCTCTACGTCTATTTATTTCAAAACTTTAGAAAATTAAACTTCTGGTGATCCAGACACGATTTCTGAAAAAAATATTTCCAAGTTTATAAACAAGGTGGTAGGAAGCATGCTTTGAATTTCACGTTAACTCAGGGTTAAGCTAACCTGGTTTTGAACAACCTGTCACAGGGATATATGATCCCGATTAGGACTTGTATTCTAATGAATTAATGTCCTCAGAAGTCGTGGTTCCCATTGTTGGACTTTTATTCCAATCAATGTTTTCAGGTGTCGTGGTTTCCAATGTTGGACTTTTATTCTAATTAATGTCCTCCGGGGTCGTGGTTCCCAATGTTGGACTTCTGTTCTAAAAAATATTCTCAGGTGTCGTGGTTCCCAATGTTGGTTTTCTGTTCCAATTTATGTCTCAGGCAGTGGCGTGCTGGCAGGGGGGGGGGCGGGGGGGCACGGTCCCCCCAGCTGGCAATTCTTGGGGGCGCAAAAATGAAAAGGGGGCGCCGTCCCGTGCGGAATTTTGTAAGTGGGTGGGAAAAAACGCATTTGAAAAAATATAGTTACTTCCGTCAAGAAGTATATATTTATATAGGCTTATAAACAGATCGAGACTAAGCGCATAGACGACAAAGTGATATATTAAATTACAGACTATTTGGTCTAACCTTATTTGCTAATTTGCTACTTCACGGCTCACACAAAATCGTTCATATAGAAACATGATCAGTGATCACACACAATGTCTCATTACCGGAATATTGGTCAGGTTTCGAAGCGATCACGGGAATTATGCCCTTTTTTGCTGGTATTATGCCCTTATATTATGAAGGTATTATGCTTCACGAATCACGAGAGCGGCGCAAATTAGATAGTTATGATAATGTAAGTTGTGTACGCAATTTAGTTGTTTGTGCAAGAAACATCATGACTCATGAGTAATGTAAGTGATAAGATAATGCTGAAAAGCGCCCTTTTGGCAGCCAAGCAAGGTAACCTTAATTAAAGTGCATATGCGTGGGGTCCTTGTGTTATTGTATAAAAGAGCTGTATGTTGTAAATGTATTCAGATCACCAGATCAGTAGAGAATAGAATTGGGATTAGATTAATCGCTGGAACTGAGTTAGCATTGCCCAATTTAAGAACTACTACTATATATAATTCCAACCAAATTGCAAATTTAAACACGTTATAATGCCGTTTCCTGACCATCAGATTTCTGTCAAACCTTTCCCCCAAAGTCCAGGAAATGGCATTTCAGAGACCCTAAATTCAAAAATTTTCCGAGGGGGCTGCCCCCGGACCCCCTAGACAAACCTCGCACCTGCGGCGCTCGGCTCGTGCCTTCGACACTCGTTTATCAAGCATTACAATATAGGGGCGCATATTAGTTGAAAGCCAACTGGCCCCCCCCAGAAAATTAGTACCCAGCACGCCACTGTATAAGAGACTTATTTGATTTAGTTTGTACTTAGTTTCTGACGAAGGGTGTTACATGCAGTCGAAAATTTAAAAATTTTTGAATTATATATTCTGATTTCTTTTGGTCGTGGCTTTTATTTTGTATATAATATATGTATATATATATATATATATATATATATATATATATATATATATATATATATATATATATATATATATATATATATATATATATATATATATAAACGTAGTTAGCGTTAATCACTGTAGTTAAATCTTAAAGCCTGGTTCACATATAATATATGCCTGGACGTGCCTGCGACGTACCGGCGACGATGCCGGTGGTAGCTTAAAACGTGAATTATGTGAATATTTGTTCGCCGATTGCCTCCAGTGCCACAGTTACATCGGCGGTAGGCCGGGAAAGTTGACTTGAGTTCAACTTTGCCGGTATTTCGGCGGCAAGTAGAGGCATAATGATACAGTCGCAAGCATGCCGCAGGCATGCCGCAGGCATATGTGAACCAGGCTTA